TAAAATTATATATCTATAACATGTATTTCCCGTGAGATGTCGCCCTGTGTTCATTACATGCTTGTTTGATTGCGTGGCAGCTATCACAAATGTGATGAAGTTCAGACAATTTTAACTTAAATATGTCATGGCGGGGTACGCCGGTGTAGTGAAGCAGTGGACCCAAATCCAGACAGAGAAGAAGACGGAGCGGAGACTTGAACCAAAAGCGAGCTGTTTTATTTAGGCTGGTAAACATGAACAAAGGCAAAATCAGGAGCGACAACTAAACTGGAACCCATGCTGGGAAAACTAAAAGACAACTGTGACGAAACATAGAGACAACTATAAAGACTATGACTGCTATGATTTCTATGACTCGGCGTGGTAACACAGACGTTCTGACAAAGACAGGCTAAACACACACAAGGGATGATCAGAGGAAGAGGAAACACATGGGGAAACAGCTGACACTAATGAACATAATGACACCACAGGGGAACTATAAAACTAAGCACACTGAACAAGGGAACACTAGACTTCCAAAATACAACAGGAAACACTGAGAGGCTGGCATGACATCACAAACTAGACAAAATGAAATACGCAGACAACAAATATATGACAAACTACCTAGAGAAGAACAGACTTACAGAAGAGGACCTAGATGGACCTAAACTAGAATACACTCATCTAAAACCTACAGAACTAAAAATATATATTTATAATAAAACACACATTTACAAAAAGCACTCAAATTGCTGGGTCACAGACCCAGCCCGACAGAATAATTCCACAATTCACTGTAAATTTCAAACACCAAACCTTTTAGACGACTAAAGTGTGATGTGTTAAAAAGGGTACTCAGAACTGTGGATAAAGATTGTTGATTTACCTTTTGGTAGTCCAAATATCAGAGGTCTGAGTAAGACATAAGTGCTGTTTCCATCAGAGGTTCGACCCACACTCAAAACAAAATTTTCTAAGGATGAAAATCTGAATTAGATGAAAATCTGAACATTGTAGCTACAGTCCAGTCGTAAAGAGATAAAGGAGTCAACTTACCATTTGTCTCGAGCCTCCATCTCTTCAGGCTGTCGTCGTAGTCGGCAGCCACGTCACACCTGTAGCTTCCAGAGTCTTCAGCTGTGACTCTGGACAGATGAAGTCTGATTCGTCCTCCTCTCAGAGCATCTCTGTCAGTCTGAACTCGTCCTGCAAACTGCTCATCCTGAGACTCAGAGTCCTCCACTCCTCTGATCATTTTAAACAAAATCTTAGTGACGTCTGAGTGGAAAACACACATCATGTCAGCCAGAGACACGTCAGCTTGGAGCTGACTGTTCAATCTGATGGTGACGTTGTCGTCCTCCTTGGCCTCAAAGACAGTCGCAGACCTTTTCAAAACAAACGTCCCTGTTGAGAAGACACCACCTCATTATTGTGTGTTCATTTATCCTTTTTATTTATTTATTTATTTGAATTTACTAAAAGATAACTGTGTCTAAATGTGGACACTCACAGACAGAGGACGCCAGGCCGAGAAACAGAAGGATCCTGATCATCTTCTCTCTGTGAGAATGAATCAGAGGAAGAACGTTTTAATAAATATCTTTTTTTTAAAAAAGACAATAAAAATAAAAGTGAAATATTTCACATTTTTCACCAGCTTAAAAACCACTGAGTGATTTCCCCACACAGAGTGTACACAGACACAGTTTCTGTGCAGCTCACCAGCACATGAATTAATGTACGTCTATGATCCAAACCATGATCATAATTCTGCGCATGTTTCAGCTACGAGATTTAAAATGGTCTGTTGACATCAGAGTGAAGTGTGTTTTCAGTATTACTCCAATAACATGTTTAGATGTTTTTAGGCTTAGTTTTCTACCTGTTCTTGTGTTTCTCCGTCTCTGGCAGCTGTCTCTAC